AAGTTACCAGGAGTGAACTATATTGTGAATAACACACAAATATTGTTCTCTTCACTGGATGATTTGAAGAAAACAAATTTGAAAACTTTATTAACATCCTTATTGCTGGCAACTAATCCTCCTAAGGTAATTAATAAAATTCATCTGTGAACAACAGTAATTAGGCAGTTGCTTACAAAAATATTGTGTTGGAAACTTTTGGAGGCATTGTAGAAGTGTTGCCCTTGCTGCAGTGTATTTAGTTGTGTACTACTTTGTATATATCTGATGCAATATCTGTGCCATTAATTTGCAATTATGAAAATTGCATAAGAAATACAAAGAGACTTTCAAGTTATGTGAATGAGTCATTTAAAAACCACTGTTTTTCTGAATTTAGTTCAAGACAGCCCACACCAGGGTGAGTGCAGAGTATATCAACATCTGTAAAAGATCTCAAGTCTGATGAATTTCTTAGTCTTTAAAACATTTGTCTGTCTGTAGAGAATACTGATCTTTGATTTCAAAAGCTGAGCTTTTTTTTCCTGCCCCTTTAACCATATGAGGCATAAAAAAGGGAAACTTCGAGGAAGATTTAGCACATAATTATAGGATTTATTTTCTTCTTCATTTTTATTTTTTATATCTGCATCTTTTTTTTTTTCCCGTGACTTGATATTCTGGGAATTCTTTGGAGAAAACCAATGGGATTTTAATCCTACAAATATGTATTCACATGTTTCACAGTGTACACATGGGTGGTCAGTCAGTTTTGTAAAGCTAAGCTAAAGAGAAAATAGTTGCTGAACTGGAAAAAGTAGCCAGCAAATAACTTCTGACCTTCAGTGACTCAACATAGGTCAGGTGTCCCACAGAACAAAAGCTCCTAAATTTTGAAGAGTCTTTGCATACAAGTGGGTAAACTACTATAAGTTCTAACACCTATTTTGATTTCTGGGTGTTGTAAAAGTGAATAGAAGGTAATGATTCTATAAAAGACAAATTATGAGTAATTTCACCAAAGAACTCCAATTACCATGATTTGAACTGTAGTGTAGAGTTCAAACCTGACATCCTAAGCCAGTCCTAAGAGAATGAAACAGCAGCTCTTTTCTGGGTCTGCAGATGAAAATGTTGTGAACAGCACAGAGGCAGCAGCTGAGACAACAACATGTGTCCAGGGACAGGGTGAGGGTTACCGTGGCACGGTCAGCACCATATGGAGTGGAATCCAGTGCCAGAGATGGGACTCCCAGTTTCCTCACCAGCACAACATCACTCCTGAGAACTTCAAGTGCAAGTGAGTAGAGA